AATAATAATAATAATAACAATAATAATAACAATAATAATAACAACAATAATAATAACAATAACAATAACAATAATAATAATAATAATAATAATAATAATAATAATAATAATAATAATAATAATAATAATAATAATAATAATAATAATAAAGCAATAAAAGGAAACCTGTAAAAGTTGAGAATAAATTGTGAGACTTGAAAAAAAGATGAAACTGAAGTAACTTTTATTAAAGCGGTAAGATTTGATCCAAGCGTTACACAAATTGTAGGCCTAATACTATTGGTGTGGTAGTTCCCCAATGTGAGAAACTACCACTTTTACAAAGTGATTTTCTGCCTAAAGCTATGAAGTACTTCCGCGTACAAAACTTGGATTCTCAAAAATGAATGCTTGGTCGTTTTTTATAGGGAGAACTAATGGAAGTTAACATGTGAGAGGTAGTGGAGATCATGGGAAGTTGAAGAAGGTGGAGATAGTGGGAAGTTGGAGACAGTGGAGATAATGCAGATCATGGTCGGAGAAGTTGACGAAATCATGGGAGCTTCGTTGTGGACGTGAAGAGAACTTTGTGTTTAACACTGAAATTAACTTGTGTCGAGCGCCATGCAATGTGTGCCATGGGGCACACATATTTTCAACTTGTTCTGATCGTCATACTATGTGTGCCGACGGGCACACATATTTGACTTGCGTGGAGCGCCATACTATGTGTGCCGAGGAGCACACATATTTGACTTGTGTCGAGCGTCAGAGAGGTGTGACATCCGTCACAACCTCCTGATATGAATTTTCTGCTGCTTTTCTGCTATTTTGTGATTTTTAGTCTATTTCTTCTCCTTTTCTCAAGTAGGTCTTGTGGAATACAAATACCTGAAACAAATTTAAAATACCAACATAATGCAACATAATTAACAGAAAATGGTACTAAAATGCATGCAAGTCGAGCCAAATATATGATATAATTTCACGTTATCAATTTCACAATATTTGATTCAATATTGTTGACCTAATCTTTTTCATTATAAATAGACAACATGTTCATACATCCAAACACACGAAAATTTACCTCAAGAACAAGTCCTAAAAATCTCAAAATTGTTAAAACTAGGGCAACTTGAAACCTTCATCTACAGCCTTGTTCAATCTGTTTCAAGCATTCCATCATGTTCCTAAAGTTCTCAGGAGTTCATCCCATTCATCCTTGAAGCCTGAAGCGTGCTAGATCATCACATCTCAACATCACCGGTTTGGTAGTTTTCGTGAATCTCAAAATTTTAATCTATGCATATTTAATTAATTTGATGCATGTATACATGTTCATGATCATGTTTAGGGCTGTTTTGATCCATTATTTGCAAGCTTTGATGCAGGGATCGTGAGATACCGTTGTTAAGGCAGCTTGGAACTTTTTCTTTGTATCTCATATTACAATCATTTTCAGGCTAAACTAACATCTCCACTGGATTCGCAAGGGTTAAATTAGGGGGATATGATCCCTTTTATGATCTAAATCTTGTTATTTTTGCAGGTTGGAAAATCTTCTCACCGGAGAAGACGACCGGAGCTAGGGCTTCGACGCTTCTGTGATTCACTTGATTTTATTATATATTCATTTGTTTCTGTTCTATAGAAAAAACACAGTGTAGCGCAGTTAGTTGGAAACTAAGGCATGTAACGTGAGAAGCGTGGGTTTAATCCCTACGTCTTACAAAAAAATTGTTTTTCCAAACTAACGCACATGTTAATATTATATCGATTAGTTCTTATTCCTAAACATAAAAGTAGCATTGGTGCAGTGGTTGGAAGGAAACATGTGAAGCTAGGGGCGTGAGTTCAACATCCACCTAATGCAATTCTTTTTTCCTTATTTTACTAACCCTAATTTTCATCATATTTTACTAATTATTTTTTTAATTAATAATTAACTAATCTAATCTTTTTTTTAATACTAACAAATTAGGATTAGGTTTTAGTTAGTAATTAAATATTTCTTATATTTTTTTTTATTTACTAATTAATTAATTAATTAACTAAACTTTTCTTTTTAATATTAAAATTAATTAGAATTAGGTTTTTAATTACTATTATCATTTAAACTATTTCTACAAAAATCACAAAAAAAAATTTCATTTTAACATTCTATTTTCTATTTTCTTTCTTTGCTATTTAAATTTATTAGACAAAGTGTATAGGTCACACTCTCCGATGTAATAGCGTAGATTTATATTTTTCTCGTATTTTTCTTCTAATTATGTATTTGCTCCGAAGATGTAATAGCGTAGGTTTACTTTTCCGCAAATTTTTATACCTATGTATCTCTTTCATAGCCATGTAATAGCATAGGACTTTATATTCCGCACTTCATTTTTCTGTACATATTTAATTGCTAGTAACTAGGGTTTGTATGGTAAGATTAAAAATAAATATAGAAAACGCTAAATTCTCAAGATAAAATAACTGAATCAATACACTTCGCACACTTGCACCTCTAGGATATCCTCTCTTGATCACGCCCCTCGAAAGTGGGGATGCTTTAGCAAAAGATCATCAATCAAATTATCATGTCTCTTTCGAATAAAGATCATAGTCCCTCGATGACTCTTCAAAGTTGCCTACAAAATAATCTAGTTCCTACGAGTAAATGATGGTAGTCCCTCTGATACAATTGCTAAAGTGTCCTTACATGTTGCCTTCGATGATCCTACACATGTCCCTTCACATCCAATAGATGGGGCTACATACCAACTAATAGTATGGATAGTACTATCTATAACGGAGAAGGAAAAGAATAAGAAAGACTTTAGTGGGTAAGAACTCCTAATTGTTTGCTCAGAAACTTTTTTCACAAACAAATACATTTTTCACACTATATTTTCAAATAAATATTTTTAAAAACACTTAGTATACATTTTTGAGGATTGATACAAGAATCATTACAAAGTTAGCCTTACATTGGCATTTCAAAATATTTTCAAACAAATCACACACACAAACAAAGAAAGTTTTCAAAGTGAGCTAAGCAATTAAGAGCTCATGGATAACTACGGATGAAAAGAATGCTAACACCTTTCCTTTTCATAACTTATCCCCCGAACTCAAAATCTATCAAAGGTCTTTCATGTTCTTTTCACCTTTCCTAAATATTGGATAAAAGAAAAGTCAGCGGTGACTTTTGTTATCCGCACATTTGGATAAAACCAAAAAAGTCAATTCTCCCACCGTATTACATTATGTCTCTATGTCGGTGACTTGTTAATAACAGGTAGCTGCAAGAAGAAGATCGAAGACTTCAAAGGAGATCTCAACAAAGAATTCGAAATGTCTGATCTGGGTGATATTTCATACTTCCTTGGCATCGAATTCTACAAGAGAAGTAGAGGTTTGATGATGCATCAAAGAAAATGTGCAGGAGAAATTCTTAAGAGATTTTAGATGGAAGAATGCAACTCGACTTCGACACCTGTAGAACCAAGACTACAACTGTCAAAGGATGCCGATGAAGATGACGTCGATCCAATCCAATACAGAAGACTTATTGGATCACTAAGATATGTTTGTCATATGAGACTTAACTTAACATACAGTGTGGGTATGGTAAGTAGATTCATGCAGAAGCCCAAGGTATCACATCCAACAGCGGTGAAGAGGATACTAAGGTATCTCAAAGGAACTCTCAACTATGATATTTTGTTTTCTGCGGCTGATAAAAGAAAAGAATGCAAGTTAGTGGGATACACTGATTCAAGTTGGTGCAGTGATACTGAGGATAAAAAATCCATAGCAGGATATGTGTTTATACTAGGTGGTGCACCAGTTGTTTAGAGTTCGAGAAAGGAATCAGTAATTGCATTATCATTGTGCGAAGCAAAGTACATAACTGCTTCTCTTTGTGCATGTCAAGCAATTTGGATGGTAAGCTTGGTCAAAGAGATAACAGGGAAAAAAATCATAGAGCAATCACCATGAAGATGACAGCATGTCAGCTATCAACCAGGCTCTGATACCACTGTTAGAGGCAATTCTGAGAGAGCATTCTTTATTTGGGACACATCTTTTGTGAAAAATATGCTACATATACACCTATCACCTTAAGATTTTAGGTGAATATGTGGCGTGTCTCTCATAAAAGATGTGTCCCAAATAAAAAATGCTCATTCGGAATTGCCCCTAACATTTATGTTGAATTAAATCTTCCATTAGATTGTTTACTTCATTTGTTTTTTCAATTGTTGTTTTAATGTTATCATTGTATCATTTGTTTATTTCAATCCCTCACTATTGTAATGATTGCTTCTGTTGAAGCTTTTCAGCTAGATTTAATCTCCATTGGTGTAATACTAACCTTTAGGACTTGTAATGACGGCATTTCCTTAGAATTTGTAAGACCATCTTCATTCATTCTTGTAATGCAATTCCTTGTTCCTACTGTAAGTCGGATTTCTACTCGAGATCTTGTTTTGTCATATTACCGTTTGAGTTTCTTTCTGATTCCACATTTGATTCTGAATTTGACAAAATATCATGACTTTGAAAATCTGCCTGTTTAATCTGAAGTTGCCCTTCTTCCCTGTCTTGAAATTGTTTACGAGCTTGACCATTAATTGCCTACAGTTAATTTCTTGCTATAAAAGTATGCAGTTCCTGTAGTAACTGTTCATAATTCACAAAACCTCTATTCTTAACCGAGCAAATATAATATGCTTTTAGCTCGTCTAAAAATCATAATTTATCTCATGACTATGTAAATGACCAGAAGTAAATAAAAGTGAACACATTTAACTTGCATCTCAAGAATGAAAGGTAAACAAACACAAATGAGGACCACCCAGAGACTCTTATATTGATTGAAGGGCGAATTAAAACTATGAATATCAATTTAAACCAATCCAAGTTTTTCAAAAATTATTAGCTTCCTTAAGTAACTCTCATATCATGATACATAACATAACATGCTTTGACACTAAATATCAGTCTCAAAAGTATTACAGATCATTTCTTTTTTACTGGACGAAGCTCTTCACTTTCTTCAGCCACAATAAGTATTCCTTGTTGTCTTTGTTAAACATGTATTCCTGCAAAAAGTTGGTTGTGCCGGCTGTTATCCCCCGGATCTCAAGATACTTGAGAAAAGCCTTCTGCAGATTTTCATCCAAATCACTGTAAAAAAGAACAGAAACATTAGAAACTGTAATAGATGCATTCTACGATAAAGTTAAATGACAACATATATTATTAAATGCTTACGTGAACTCAGGTCCCTCGTATACCAGCTCGTCTTCAGAATCGTCAGGCTTCTTTATCGACAAGCTATCAATCGAAACCTCGTCTGGGAAAGCAGTCAAGCCAAACTCTAGGGACACCCCATTTCCTTTGAAAACAGTCACAACCAAAGGAATGCTAGATTCAGTATCATTCTTCTCATTGTCATCTGCATCCTCGTCGCCCTCGTTTTCTTCAGGTGTCATGTTAGGGATGTCAACTTGAACTGTGATGATTTCATCGTCGTATTGTCTTTTTAGTCGAATAGTTCTTTCTCCAGGATTGTCTTCAATCTCAAAAGGAAATCCAATAGGAATTTCAACCTGGAAAAGTTGCAGAAAAGTGACAAATGACAGTGAATATCAAAGCAATTGTGCTCCACATACACATCCTATGATAATCTCTGTTATTCCTGACCCCTGAAAAGATCCACAGGTTGCACAAATCTAAAAGGGAAAAACTTTTCTATCTTAAATCTTGCTGCTATAATACATAATTTTATGTGCCAGGAAAACTCATCAGTATAGAACAACACTCAAAGCTGATAATGATTGTCATGCATTTTCATATACCAAAGGTAATCCACAAACAATAATATGGTATTTTCTCACATTCAAACAATATTTCAACGTTTAGATGAGAAAAGGCTGAAAAATTGTTTTGCTCATTGGAAAGAGCAATTCAAGAGTTATTCAGACCTACTTACAACATATACTTGATAGAGACAAATCAAAGAAAATTAGGAAAACTCATCGGTATATGGTATGACACTCAAAACTGATAATTATTGTCATGCATTTTCACATATCAAAGATAATCCACAAACAATAATATGATACTTTCTCAAATTCATACTACATTTCAACTTTCAGACGAGAAAAAGGGTTGAAAACACGTTTTGCTCATTCGGAAGCAGCAATTCAAGAGCTATTCAAACCTACTTCTTACAACATATGCTTCTTAAACCTATGCTGATTTTTCAACTTACTGTCAGATGTCGCCGGGCGACGCTTTTTGGTCGTCGGGCGATGCAGGACAGTCAGTAATGCGTATTTATGGGTAAAAACACATTTTTTGGATATGTTTTTGAGTATTTTTGATCCCAACTCCATCATCCTTCATTTTTTGATAGGATTAGCTTAGAAAACAACATCGAAACTTGCATACGGATGATCCGGGGTGGATTGCTCATCAATCGGCGTTGACAAACCGGTAGATTTGTGGTTCATTTCTCTTCCTCTTTTGTATTCTTTATGTGTTGAGTTTGTATATGTATTTACTTTGAACTCGTGTATATTTGTCACCCATATACTGTCTGTGTTAGGGATTTGGGTTGTTATAAACATATACTACTTAAATTCTTATCTAGGATGATTATCTGTTAGTTTCTGAACTCTAGAGATAGATTTAGAGCTAACATCTACTTGGGTATCAGAGTTTAATTCCTCTGTGTGGTTGTGTTATGCTGAGAGATCGTCAGTGCGATTACATAGTTGTCTTCTGTGTTGTTGAGGAGGTAGAGAGATCATTTCCTTGGTGATAAAGTCAATCTCTCAATTTGGGTTAAAAATGACTTAGGTTGTGAGTGATAGATAGTGAATTGATGAGTATTGTTAGGTTGAATTTAACTGGTCGATAGATTTAAGTCTGTGATGAGTAGATCATATGCAGGCTTGATAAGTTCTTCTTTAGTTTTTTCTTTTATTTACATTTATTTTCTGTTGATAAAATTTTCTTTACAAATTCATTTATCCTCAAACTCATTAACGAGAGAATTGTCGAACGACAACTCAATAACCAATCTCTGTGGACACGATAAATTCCCGGATAAATATTTCTAAAACTTTTGTTGCTTGCCGCTATAACGCTCCAACAAAATGGCGCTGTTGTCGGAGATTGGTTCTATTGTCTTTGCATTGCGATAATTCTTTTGTTTTTGAATTTTGTAATTAATGTATATGTTGTATAGAAATTGTACATTAACTTGTATATGATATTTGTGCATATATGTGTTTTCACGTATTGTTGTAAATTGTCTTGTTTTCGTAATGTTTGTTGTGTGATTATTAGGACATTTTTTTTAGATTTGCGCGGTGTGATAATACCATGGCATGACGAGAGGAGGTTACTAGCTCGCACAATAAAGGCATCGAACTTACGATGTAAAACAAACATGTTTGTATTTGTTTACGTGTGTGGTGATTTGTGCTTTAACAAGTTGAAACAAGAAAATGTTCTGAATTTCAAATCTTCACTTTTCAACTTCCTATTCATTTTCACCCGGTTTTCATATCGTTATTTGTATTGGTTTTGTTATGTGAATTTGTGTTTTTCGAAAGCTTGTCGTGTTTAGCTTGATAAGTTTTGTTCGTTGTATATATTGTAAATTTTGTACATTGAAATTTTGTAGGAGTATTATTTTTCTAATTCTTTTGTTGTTGGTTGCACTCAAGTTTTGGTCAAATAACTTGTAGAATATTGAGGTGATTTGTCAAGTTTGATCGTTTCGACTTGCAAATGTGTGGTAATGATTTTTGTTAAAATTTTGTATACGTTCAAGGTATGTGTTTATCGCTTTCTATACTTTAGCATATTCATGATACTTAGACTTTTTACAATTTTTATGTCATTCACTCTTTTGTATACTTGTACATTTGTGAATCACTTTAGTTCCCTTTTTACTCATAAATGTGAGAAACATTTCCATTGTTCATATATGTTGGAGGCCACATTCTTGTTTTAACGGGATTTTATTATGTTTAATCTTTTGTTTGTGTTGATTGTATGAATACATGAAAGTGATCAAGATGTTTTGTTTGATTTTGAGCACAACTACCTTAGTCAAATAGTCAATTCACCTTGTGAATGTGTGATCATTAGTAACCTCTTTGAGCTTTTGGTTGATATTTATGTTTTTTCTGCTAAATACTTGTCTATGAGTGTTTAGTTCACCTTTTTGCATAGATGTTGATTCGTTGTTTTCTAGAACCCTCAATCATTATTTTGGTTTAAATTTTTTACTTTGCCTTAGAAAGTATGGAGTATTTACTAAGATGTTGGTTGAAGATGTTGGTTGAATTCAAGTTGGAGAGAGGGATGTTTATATGCTTATGTTGTGATTGCTTTGAGGTTGAAAAAAAAATGTGTAAAAGAAGTGATAGAAAAAGAAAGGAAAAAAAATAAAATTTTTGAAAAGGAAAAACAAAAAGAGTATGGAATAATATTGTGTTAAAAAGTGATGTGTGTTTGGGGTAACACTTGTGATAAAGAAGAATTATGATTGGAATTTTATTGTTTGAAACTTTGTGAAAGTAATTACTCCCTTAGGTTTAGGCAAATTTTTGTTTCAATTAGCTTTAGGACTTATCACTTATTTGTTAACCAAGCCACATTACAACCTTGAAAAGCCCTTGAGATTCTTGCTTTTATATTTTCAATGTAAATTTTTGGATGAATGCATAATTTAGTCTATTGTTTGCAAGATTGTTGAATGAATGAAAATATCCAATTTTTGTGTGTTTTTCATCTACCAATGATTGTGTTTGCTAGGTGTGATTCATTTGCGAACTAGTATTTTTTTAGAATGTTTGGCATAATTTTTGTATTTAGCATTTAATTCGTGTTTATGTTATAGTTGTAGTTTAGTGGTAAGTATTTACTTTGTGTGTATTGTTTTTCATTTGAACCATTGCATTTGTTTTCTGTTTTCAAAACCTGTTGATTCATGATTCGTTGATTATCGTCTTTTGCTTTTTTAAGTTTATTTGCCTTTGTTTGAGGACAAACAATGTTTTAAGTTGGGGAGAGTTTGATGAGTACTAAATTGTTGTGAATTTGAGTGTGAATAATTAGCACTCATCGGCTTAATTCATTTGTTTTTTGTCAATAAACCTCAATTTTAGTGTATATTCGATATAGTTTACTTTATAGTGTATTTATTGCGTTATTGTGTAAATATCATTGAGTTTAATTGATTTTATCTCATTTTTGTAGGTATTCAAGCATTGATATTTATGCATTGTTAGATAGAGCATTAAATAAGCTTTTCAACGCTTCCGACCGTGCGCGAATCGGAGTTACGGTTCTCAACTTATGGCTGAAATTGTGCTGGTTTTTCAACTTACTGTCAGCCGTCACCGGACGACGCTTTTTGGTCGTCGGACAACGCTGGGGCGACATGAAGCGTGGGAAAAACGCAGTTCTGGTCGCCGGACGACACTTTTTGATCGTCGGGCAATGCAGGACAGTCAGAAATGCGTATTTAGGGGTAAAAACACATTTTTAGGATATGGTTTTGGGCATTTTTGATCCAAATTCCATCACCTTTCATTTTTTGATAGGATTAGCTTAGAAACATTGAAGCTTGCATACGGATGATGCGGGATGGATTGCTCATCAATCGGCACTGACAAACCGGTAGATTAGTGGTTCATTTCTCTTCCTCTTTGTGTACTCTTTATGTAATGAATTTGTATATATATTTACTTTAAACTCATGTATATTTATCGCCCATGGCGTTATATTAAACTTGCTTTATAAATCTTCGTCGATTGTTGTCCTGGATTTTTGCTCTGTGCTAGAGATTTGGATTATTATAGACATATACTGCTTAAATTCTTATCTAGGATGATTATCTGTTAGTTTTTAAACTCTAGAAATAGATTTAGAGCTGACATCTACTTGGGTATCAGAGCTTAATGTCTCTATGTGGTTGTGATGTGCTGAGAAACCGTCAGTGCGATTACATAGTTGTCTTCTGTGTTATTGAGGAGATAGAGAGATCATTTCTTTAGTGATACAGTCGATCTCTCGATTTGGGTTAGAAATGACTTAGGTTGTGAGTGATAGGTAGTGACATTGATGAATATTATTAGGTTGAATGTAACTGGTCGATAGATTTAAGTCTATGATGAGTAGATTATATGCAGACTTGATAAGTTCTTCCTTAGTTTTTTCTTTTGTTTACATTTATTTTCTATTGATAACATTTTCTTTACAAACTCATTTATCCTCAAACTCATTAACGAGAGGGTTGTCGAACGGCAATTCAATAACCAATCTTTGTGGACACGATAAATTCCCGGATAAATATTTCTAAAACTTTTGTTATTTGCCGCTATAACGCTCCAACAGCTTGTGCAATCATTCTAAACTATAGTGAAATCTCTTCCGCGTTGGCAAGAGGACTAAAGTACTCTTAATCTGTGAGGGGAATCAGTATACATTTGGTATTCATTTACTTTCCGCACTTTATTGCTTTCATCACCATAATCAAAAAATAAAAACTTTAAAAAGAAAGCAAAAATTGATCATCACTTAATTCACCCCCCCTCTCAGACGCATTATTAACTTACAAAAATCATACTGATCTTGAAACTAAATTCCACATGATGCCAAGTGAGCAATAAGAAATATATGGATGAAAATTTTACAACTAAGGGATAAAAGGCTTTTTAATCAAACCAAGTTATATCATATTTTGGCAACTGTTATGTAAATTTCATTAAATTAAATACTATACACAAACAACTAAAACAGGCAAACAAAGAATCCAAGATAAACAGCTAACTCGTAACAGCAAGATAATCATACTTATTTTTAAGTACTAAAAGATACAACAACAACAATAACAACCAAGATTTATCCCACTAAGTCGGGTCGGCTACATGGATCAACTTTTGCCATAATGTTATATCTAGGACCAAGCTTTTATTTAAATCGTTAATCTCGAGATCTTTCTCAATAATTTCTCTTATCTCCTTACCACAGAATCTACAGATCTTCTCTCTACATGCCCAACTCACCTAAATCCATTTTCCACCACCTAATAACCACTAAAAGATAAAGCACTTAAAAGCATATATATATATATATATATATATATATATATATATATATATATATATATATATATATATATATATATATATATATATATATATATATATATATATATATATAATGGCAGCAATTTAAATACCTACATAGTTTTGTCGAATTATGATGCCAATCTAAATCTTAATGACAGTTAGGTTAGCTTATTAACGAATTGAGTAGAGCATATGAAGACAACAAATGCAGATTGCAAAAATCAACTCTTACACTGTCACCAGTATAATACAAATAAGAAGAAATTAAAAGTTACCCACAAACACAACAAAATTGAACTTTCACTACTTTACTCAATTCACACCAACTACATCCAAACTTCTACCAAACTTCTAGCTACATTGATACAAAACATCATTTCTCCTTCTAGTGACGCCGGAATGAACGGCTATTTACCACGATCCACAATTGACAACACTGGTTACAAACATTCCAGAATTTCTACACCTTATAAAGAAGTGGAACAAAGATAAATTTACAACAAACCATCACTACAACTATCAACAACAAAACCAGTATCATGTTAAAGATTATGCTTCAATCAATGCATAGGAACAAAGCTCAAAATAGGGAAAAACAATTTACTAACATATAGAACTTCAATCTAATAAACTTACTAACCCAACATACAAAAAAACGAAAGCGGAAGGAAAAGAAACAAATTTCGAAGAAATTTACAAGTATAACACACTAGAGAAAAACAAAGGGGGTTAAATGTAATAGTAAAAAATTACTTGTTCAGTAGCTTGATTATCCTCGAGGGCGCAATTGATTTCAGATTGAAGTATTTGAACAAGATTATCATCTGCGCTCGATTTCTTTGCGACGGCGTTAGCGAAGCTACGAGAGGGAACAAAAGGAGTCATCTCTTGGTGAGGAAGGAGTTTGACAGAGAGTGCGCTGTGCAAGGTTCTGGAAGATGAAACCGCCGTGCGGCGCCCAGCCAGAGGAATAACGGCGGCGGAGGCACGACGAAGGAGGGTGTACATAGCCATTTGAGAGTTGAGTGATGCAGGGTTTAGTGTTAGGGTTTTGGGATTTTGCAACTCGCGGTTCTCTTTATTTATAGGTACTCGAATAATTCAGAGAATGTTTAATTACATTTTGGCCCTCAAGTATTGTAACTTTGGTTTAGTTGATGGTAAGATTCCTCAAATCTAAACTTCTTAGACCACCTCTAACGAGAGGTTTCTCATGTTGGTTCTTCAAGTGACAATGTTTTTTCTCTTTTCTCCAATGCTCCAGTTAACCAACGGATTAAAGTATTCAGTGGTTCTTATTTTTTTTTTAATATTTTAAAATTCAAAGCAGCAGTCAAGTAGCCGTTGAACGGCTAGTTAATTTAATTTTTTAACTTATTTTTCAATTATAAATATAGTGTTTTAGGAAAAAATTTATCAACATCAATTTTCTTTCACTTTTATTTTCTCTTAAATTTCAAGTTTCTCTCTCAAAACTTCATCTAAATTTTCATCTTTTTACTTCAACTTAAAATTGTTTAGGCCAAATGGATCATAATCATTTTCATTATCAACAAGCTATGTTCAATTACATGCAAAATAATCAAAATCCTAATTCTCAAAATGCTCAAATTCCATCGGTGTCAACAAACCCCGCCATATTTTTTCCGTCACCAAACAATCCAAATATGTTTCCTAGCCCTCAAATGAATTCTAATAGTATGGAATTTTTTTGTCATGAACCGGAAATACCGATTGGATTTATGTCCGATTGTCAACTTCCACCCTTTTCTACTCAAGTTGGTGCTGAAAAAGAAAAAAGGGTTGACGTTAAAAAAAAATCTCGAGAGCAATTTACAAGGGATGAGGATATACTTCTTATCCAATCATGGCTCAATGTTTCAAAGGATCCAATTGTGGGAGTTGATCAAAAGGCTGAGAATTTTTGGGTAAGAGTCGTTGCCAATTATAACCAGTATCGTGGACAATCGCGGGAAAAGGTAGGGGGACAATTAAAATATCGATGGCGTCGAATAAATGGCATGGTTCAAAAATTTGTTGGGTGTTACAAACAAGCTGTTAATGGAAAGAAAAGTGGGACATCGGAGAACGATATCATGGCCTCTGCACATGCTTTTTTTGCTCAGGATCAAGGTACAACATTCAATCTTGAGTATGCATGGCGACTGTTAAAAGATGAACCTAAATGGATGGGAGAATCGATTGGAAGTTCTTCAAAAATAACAAAGACTTCCACTAGTGGGGCATCATCGGAGAACCCAGATACACATTCAAGTTATGAGTTTAACTCATCATCACCAATGGAGCGTCCAATGGGACAAAAAGCAGCAAAAAGGAAGGGTAAGACAAATAATATTCCAACTGCAACGGAAGATGCAAGGAATAAAAGAACAACAGCAATGGAAAGACTAGCGCAATGTAAGGAGGACGAGATAGAAGTAAAGGTAATGCAAATCATGATGAAAGACACTTCTACTATGAGCGATAGTCAACGAGATATTCATGAAAAATATTGTAATAAGATGAGAAAAAAAATATGGAATGTAGTTAATATCACTTATGTAAAATGGTCATTAGTACCACTTTAATTTATCAACACCTATGTAAAATGGTCATTAGTACCACTTTAAATTATAATAAATATTATGTTATTCAAACTAGCCGTTATTCAAACTAACAGTTATTCAAACCATTATATATATACTACCACTTATGTCATTGTTTTCTCATTCTCATCTTATTATTTTCTCATTTTTCTCTCATTCTTTACTCACTAAAATGGATTCAGACAATTCAGAGAATTACGATCAAGAATTTTGGGATTTGATTGAAGAAGAATTTATGGACGACAGTGATGAAGAACAACAGCTTCAGAATGAACGTCAATCTGGAAGTTCCTCTCGACCAAAGAGAAGAACAACGATAGGTCGAGGTCGTGAAGAAGGGCACAATCGATTATTCAATGACTACTTCTCGGAAAATCCAGTATACACAGATGTTCAATTTTGAAGAAGGTTCAGAATGCATAGGCATGTATTTCTTCGAATTGTAGATGCCCTTGGAAATCATGATGAATATTTCCAAATGAGGGTCGGCGCAACTGGTAAAATGGGTCTTTCACCATTGCAGAAATGTACATCTGCTATTTGTATGTTGGCGTATGGGTCTCATGCTGACTTTGTAGACGAATATGTTCGAATCGGTGAAAGCACTTCAATTGAGTGCTTACAAAGATTCGTTCAGGGCGTGAATGTTGTATTTGGGGATGAGTATTTGAGAAAGCCTAACAACACTGATGTTGAACATCTTTTACAAATGGGAGAGTCACGTGGCTTTCCAGATATGTTGGGTTCCATTGATTGTATGCATTGGGAATGGAAAAATTGTCCTGTTGCATGGAAAGGACAGTATTGTCGAGGTGATCATGGTAAGCCCACAATCATGCTTGAAGCAGTGGCATCACAAGACTTATGGATTTGGCATGCTTTTTTTTTGGTATTGCAGGTTCAAACAATGACATTAATGTGTTAAACCAATCCAACGTGTTTAACGATATTTTGGAAGGACATGCTCCCAATGTGCAATATACAATCAATGGGACACCATATAATATGGGGTATTATTTAGCAGATGGTATATATCCTGAGTGAGCTACATTTGTCAAGACCATTTCAATGCCACAGGGAGAAAAGAAAAAATTATTTGCTCAACATCAAGAATCAGCTAGAAAAGATGTGGAGCGGGCATTTGGAGTGCTTCAATCTCGATTTGCAATTATACGTGGCCCAACGCGTGCCTGGCACATGGAGACCCTCAAGCATACCATATATGCCTGAATTATATTGCACAACATGATTGTGGAAGACGAACGACATATATATGGAGGTAATTTTGATTACTCGTATGATAGTGTGGATAACAACAACTCAACAACTGAAACATTTAGCGGTCATCATCCGAATCTTGCAACAAGACTACAAAGAAGAGCTAGTATTCGTGAAAACAAGTTCATCGTCAACTTCAAGGAGATTTAGTCGAGTATATTTGGGAACGTTTTGGACCTGAAGATGATGAAATTTAAGTTTGATTAATTATGTGATGTTATTTATTTTTATTGTTTTTAATTATATGTCATGTATTTGAGATTAATTTTAATTATCATTTTAAATTATAAGTTTAATTTGAATTTTATTTATTTTATATCAATTTTAATTTAAATAATTAAAATTATTATTTAAAAAAAATATTAAATTTAATATGAATAAAATATTAATATATAAAGTAAAGTTGTGGGACCCAATATGAGTTCTTCATAGTTGCACCATTGGAGTGAAAAACTAATTGAGTTGCTTCAAGCTGACGTGGCTTAATAGGTCCCACAAAGAACCCAAAAATAGATTCACGATTGGAGATGCTCTTACTCTTCTAAATTTGTGTTTGAATTCATCGATTAAATTTTGTGGAATATAACATGATGGAACAGAACAGGGAGAAATAGAATGAAATAAAGATTTCATTTAATATTTATAAGTTTAATATAATAGAATCAAATAAGATAATTTATTCTATTACATACATCATAAATTGGAGAAATAATTGTTGAAGAATAATTGACTAAAACATATATATATATATATATATATATTATAATATATATATATATATATATATATATATATATATATATATATATATATATATATATATATATATATATATATATATATATATATATATATATATATATATATATATATATATATATATATATATATATATATATATATATATATATATATATATATATATATATATATATATATATATATATATATATATATATATATATATATATATATATATATATATATATATATATATATATATATATATATAATGTAAGTGAGATTTGTTTTACATTTTCGTAAAAGAATTTTTTTTTATTCTCTCTATAATATGAAGATTCTTTATCTATGACTATGGGTGCACTATTTCAACTCGTTCTATTTTTTCCAACATAACATATATGTTTTATCTGATGTGGATTTTTTTTATAATTTCTTAACAAATGTGGCATTTTGTTTTTACATTTCCATCTTTAAATAATATTCCTACAAGATAGGGTTTCGAAGGTTCCATTTTTACATCTGAGTGTGGTTTATTTGTTCATCTTTACTGTTTGCCGAAGCTAGGGCTCAAAGGTTCGTAGATGTTCTTATATTTGATTCCAATTTTATCGATATTCATCTTGTTTGGGTTTGAAAACACATGTGAAAGTAAAAGTTCATCCATTGGTAACTTAAGTCGACTGAGTTTGCCTGGATGTGGATGTACTGAACCAATGAAGATGTGAGTATCAAACACCATTGAAAACTATAATAAAAAATTATGGAAATGTCGAAATTGAGGGGTAAGTTTATGTTCATGTTTTTCTTTGATTTTCACTTTAAATTAACTCTTACATTTGTTCTGAACCTAATTGCATAGTGGAATAAGTTGTGAAATTTTCATGTGGGACTATGAGGTTGGCCAGGTTCAAAGAACTCAAAAGATTCTCACAAATTGTTGTAATTGTGAAATGACAATGGGTTATTTGAGGGAATATGCGAAGGACCTTGGCAAGGAAGTTGGAATTGAAATTGGCAAGCAATTTGGTGTAGAATTTAGTTTAAAGAAGCTTGAAAAGACCAAGACAAAATTTGAAATGGAGAAGAATAAAAGTTATTGGTTGACGATTTCGCTTGCGGTGTCCTTGATTTTGTTCTCTATTGTTGTTAAGTTAATGTAATTTATTGTGTATCACGTGATATTGTGATGTATCACTCTATCAATATGTACTTTATATAATGGAAAAATTAATATTAGTTAAAATTGTGGTCTGCTATTGTACTTTGTTTTAAAATTTTGTTAAGACATAACAAATGTATGATTGAATAATACTTATAAAACATAGAGTGTAACCAAAATAAGGCATGGATAGTAAGTAGCACATAAAATGCATAAGTCTTTAAAAAGTGACACTTATAGTGCATCAGACTTAACACAAATAAAATGGCACATAAAATGCAACATTACATAGATAATCATCATCGGTCAATTCAGACATAACAAAATGGCACATTAAATGCATCATTATAAACATAACTTAAATATACTATTAGTTACATAATACATACATACTCTCTCCAGTCTCATTTATAAGAAAAAATTAACTTTTTATATACATTGAATAAGTAATGTATTTGGACAATATATTGTCCAAATACATTACTTATTTATTTAATGTATCTAAAAAGTTAATTTTTTCTTATAAATGAGACCGGATGAAGTATAGTATAAGACCAACCTATTAAATACATTTTATATTAAAATATTTAATTATTAATAAGTATTAAAATATTTTAATCTTATCGTGTAAGAAATTATATTATTCTTTTAAGTAATTGTTCATTAGCTAATTATTTTATTTAGACGTTTCTATTAAAATTTAGTTTTGTAGATAAAAGGTCGATAAATGAATAATTAGAATATTTTAAAAACTGAAATTCTTTTTTTTTTATGAATTCCAAATCTGACATCATTTTTTTAGAAATTCATCCATGTTGTATGGAAAATCTTAACCCATGTTTTTGTTAAAAAGAATTAATAGGGAGATACTTAACTAAACCCTTGTTTTGATCAAGTTTTTAAAATATAAACCTCGCGGTTATTGAAAAGTCCTAATCCATCTTACACTATAAAGAAAACTGAGTTTGAATTCAAAATGGTTTAAGTAAAATTTTGGGTTACAAAGTTTCCTTAATTTCATCCTTATTTTTATTTGAAATATGAAAATATTTCCATCGTGTTTGAAATTTTAATTTTCTTGTTATTTTTGTAAATTTGAGTTGGCCCCTAATGTAGTAATTATTTGGTTGCTAAAATCATTTTAGTTGTCTCTATTCTAATTTGGAGTTGTAGAAACTTTATACAATAATTTTGTTTTGAAAAACTCTAATCTCTTCCCATTGAATATGAAAACTCGCTTTATATTTTATTTGTGTTGATTGTAGAAACTGTAAAGTTAATCTTTGTTCTATTTTCAAGGATATAGATTTTCAACTCGGTTCTTGAAAACAAACTTTAAACTTCATATCTTTTTATTAGTTTCATACACTCTAATATGAATCTACCTATTTTATGAATAAGTAGGCATTTATATTAATTAAAAATTTCATCTTGTTGAAATAATGTTCCAAAAGTAAAATAGAAGGACTTTTATTTGAATTTTCAAACTCCTATCCTTTCATCATTTTAAAATCATGTGAGCTTTGGAGTCGAATAAATTGGTTCTAATTTTATTTTTTATTGTTTATGTTCAGTTATAAGTTTTATACCAGCCACGATTTTTACCTGTTGTGAACCAAGGGACTCCTGGATTCTAGTGTGATAAACATAAGTTGCGATTGAGAGGAAAAATAGGCTCGCGTATTGTATAATCTTTATGGACCCTTAGAGTAAAGACCGGTGTGTAGGAACCCTACTCGTGAGGGTAATGACACTTTCCCATGTTGATTATAACGAAACTAATAGTTAGGTATTATAGAATAAATTATATAATATATAATTTTTTTGAAGAAAAAAAGAGAATTTAATTTTAGTTTTTTTTTTTCCAATAAATTTAATCCTGTTAAAAAAAATATAACTACTAGTTTTATATATATTATGTGTTTGAGTATGATTATGTGATATGGGTGAATCTTTGTTTGTTTGTGATTGTTATTATTTGTGTGGTTGTGATGTGAATCGATTACGATCGGAAATGGATGATTATGTAAATTTTAAGATGATGTACTTGATGATGTGATATTATATGGTTGTTTGATTGCCTAAATGGCGAGATTACATTTGCATCATCATGACATGACATGTGTATTTTTGTGTGGTGCCTTAATGGTAGGTTATCTTCCCCATTGTTATTGGATGAATTATGTGTGGGGTCTTAGTGGCGGACTGATTATATCTAAATTATTTAGATTTAAGAGTATGCACATTCACACATAAAGATAATTGTAGAATAAAAACTTTGTGAATTTGATTTCGCTTAAGCTGTTATATTTTGTATAATTTGTTTTATAATATCGTTTTAGATGCATTGTTTGATTTGATATGGACAATGGAAGATTGACCGTTTACAAATAACATATTATGTATGAAGAAATTAAAGATACAAATTGATCGTGATAGGATGTTGCATGTGCTCGTGGGAATGAAATTGGGTTTTTAATTGAATTTGTAATTTTTTAAGGAAGATTAAGGGTTTTGAACTTATAATTTTATTTGTATGGACATTTATTTTTATTATCAAAATTCTAGAGACGAGGATTTGTAATATTTTAAATAGTTTATTTTCAAAAAAATTATTTAATTATGGTTTTAGAATTCTAGAGACGAGGATTACTTCATTTAAAAAAATAGTCATATTTTTAAAAGAAAATAAGAATTTTAAATTAATGTCTTAGATACAAATCTAGGATATTACATAAAGTGCATCATCTGACATTTCTTTTTCTTCCAAGATTTCAAGGATCCGGTACATACCCCTAGCTTTGAATCAGGTCCATGAGCACTTTTTTCATGTGTACTTGTTCCTTCATCATGTTCTATCAATGTGATTGACTGGTCAAAAGTTGAACCCTTACCTATAATCGATTTTTGAAACCATTTCAAGTTTAATCTTCCACTCTACCTTTTTATCATCTTCATAACATGTTTCTTCTTCTCTTTTTTTTGGTTGTGTTTGACTTGCAACAACATTCTTATCAACTTGACTTGTATTAACCACACATGAATAAGCTTGACTTGCAACAACATTGTTCTTAGCTTGACCTACATCAACATGGTCTTGCACATTTGCCTGCATATTAGCCTACACATCAACATGGTCTTACACATTAGCCTGCATATTAGCCTGCACATCAACATCAATATTTTTCTGCACATTAACATTCTTCTTCTTTGGCTCAACTCCAGCATGTTCTGCTTTGGGTTTCCTTTAAACAAGAAAAAATAATATTTATGTTACATTTAAACCATCATAGC